CTAACAATTGAGTCTCAAATAAATGAATATTTTGTTCCATAAAATACCAGGGAATATCAGGGGATCTATAAAGTACTAACATCATTACATATATTATTGTTCTAATGAAAAATAATGATTAATACTTTTATCCAAATAAATTAAAAAATAATAAATCTCCACAGAATTGAAAAGTTGTGAAAAATATTAAGAATTAAAAATGAATTTTAAAATATATCCAAATTTAACATTTCTAATCAATTTATTTACTGATTATTTATATAATAAGATTCTTGAAATAAATATTTCTCTTATCAAATTTAGCATGTTTTGAAATTAATTTAAATTTCCTAAACAAAAAACTTGAATTTTTACTCTTCTTTTTTATACATATTCAAAAATAAATAAAATTTTTTAAAATATAATTTTTATTATAGATTTTGATGATGAAGGAGGGATTTTGGTTAACTTGATTTTTTAATCGAAGTGTTATATAATTCTCTCTTGTAATTAATAAATACAGAGTAGATATTTCCTTATCTTATTTATTCAGTGATTATAAAGGATTTGCATTAACTAGTAAAAGTATTTTCATATATATTTTTTTCATATCTGAGCAAAAATGTTTGAATAAAATATATTTTAACATACTTAATTAATTTCGATAAAAATTAATCTAATAGCAAAATTATTTCAAATATATTCGTCAAAATTTTTGCTTTTTTTAAAAAGCCTTCTTTAAGATTAGTTTATTGAAAATAAATAATTATTTAATCATCTGAATCAGGAATGAAGTGATTTCTCTTTTTCTATGAGTCGTATTTAATACAATTTAACACTATTGCATAACAATAATTCTTCTCATTTATTTATAGGTCGATCTTTAAATTGCATTTCAGATTCCAATTTAACACAGTTTTCTTAATTAATCTATAACAAAATTATCTTCTAATAATATAAATCTTTTAAGAGGGATTCAATGTGTTTGATACTGATCTTTAATGTATTTTTGTAAGAGTATTTCTTCCTTCATTTGATTTTCTTCTATAACATGAAAAGCTTCTTAAAACATATTAATTTTTGATTTTGATTGCCTATAAACTCAAGGCAACTTTTTAAAAGGGCATATCTTGGTAAATAAGTTGCTTTGAAAACAGATCATTTATTAATTAATAAAGATGTTTAGCATTTAAATCAATTATTATCGACAAAAATATCTGATTCTACCTTAAATGATGGAAAAATTGATATTTAAGAATAAATACATAATTAGCAAAAAAAAAAGTATACAAAATGTAATAATCATGTGGGATTTTATGAATTGTTATAATAGATATAAGATCTAGATTAAAAAAATAAATATTAACTAAAAGTAGGATAATAATGAGAAATATGATTAAAAAGAATAATAATTTGGTATTCACAACAAAATTAGATAAACAAGTCTTAGCTGAGAAAAAAGAATTTTTCATGTTATTAAAAAAATATAGCAATAAATAAAAGTAAAAGAGTTTTTGCAAAGAGATATAATTTAATTAGAATTTTTTATATCAATAAGAATTCGATTTTATTTAATTAATTTAAACGAGATTCATGAAAATCCTAGTAATAACATAATTACTTTATGAATATAAAATTATGAATACTGTAGAATTATCAAATAGATAAAATATATTCTTTCTAATATAAAGAATAAATTCTGTTGATTGAGAAATTTGCAAACAGATTGGAATTAGAAAAATAGTTTACATAATGTTTATGATCGAAAAGGGATTTACTTGTATAAAACATTGAAATGCTTTGTAAAAATCGAAATTTTTTGAATAGAGCTTATTTTTTATAACAATAGAAACAATATTTCATTCTAGTCATAATTAGATTAAGAAAAATTTTAATATATATATATATATTTAAATTAGATTTATAAACATGGGTTAATCAGGAGTTTAAAAGTTAAACTGCTAGATTAGTGATCAAGAGGATAAAATTTATAGTGTTTGTTAGAATGATTTTTTTTTAATAATTCCGATTAAATTATTTTGAATTTTTGTTGAACATTTATTCATCAAGCTCAAATTGATGATTTAAAAAAAATAAAAAATGTGAGAGAATTTTATTGAAAATTAAAATAAGGAATGTTAAAATTAAAAAAATGAACTTAATAAATTAGTAAAAGAGCTTACCCAATCATTTTTTTTATTTTAAAAGGGAATCAGGTATAAATATTCACTTTCAAAAGAAAGATTAGCGGAGTGGAATTCATATTAATTAAATGATTTTTTGAATTAAACTATCAAATTTAAAGAATATAAAAATTCAATTACAAAAATGATATCAGATTAGACGAAGAAATTAATTCACACATTTAGTAATTTATTTGATTAATTAAATATATATTGTATTTATTATTGTTTACAAATGTTAAATCAATTCCATGATGCAATCATATGGTGGACAAAGCATTAATTATCTATGGTAACCATCTTAAATCTTTATAAATTAACGGTAGATTTATATTCAATTACTGTATAGGTTTTCTTAAACTTCTTACAAATAGATTTAAATCCTTATAATTAAAGATAAGCCATTATTATTAAATCTGATTTATTCCAAATAAACTAACCTAGATAAAATTAGTTAAATTCAAATTAATTATAATCGAAGTTAGATTTGATTTTTATTAATTATTAATGGAGTTTATTAATAAAAAAAAAAGAAACTATCATTATCATAAAATTATTACTAAATTAAAATATAAACCTATGTCTCCCTTTAACCTTAAGTATAACAGTAATAAGGATGTGATTATTTAAATTTATTTGTTTTTATAGTAATATTTTTTATAGATAATTATTGAATAAAAAAATCTAACTGTTCTAAATACTGAGATTTCTTTTCTATTTCCAGAGAATACTAAAGTAAGATTTTTTAATTCAATTCGAATTGGTTGATCATAATTTGAAAACAATAGGTATTTGCTCTTCTTATATTTGAAGTATTTATAGATGTGAATAAAAAGGAGCTATGAAATCATTCTCTTTTTTAAAAGGATCAATCCCACAAAGAAAATCTTACAATTATACTTCAATAACTGATTCTTTTAATTCAAATTCAACATACCCTTATATTTCTTATTGTGAACTTATGGTTTATGGTTGGTGCTAGTTAATTTTTCCATAAAATGAATATATAAAAAATAAATAAGGCTTAGACTAATGTCTCCAAGTTTGCTTAAAAATTTTCATCCTCCTTATTATTAAAAAATGTATCGAGACCCAATAATATCTAATTTCTCAAGTTTGTCCAAAAGGTTTTTCATAATTCCTAATAAATTTTATTTTAAGAATATTATTAAGAACCTATTTAATTTTTTCTTTGATAGTTTAGCCTTCAAAATGAGCTCTTAGATTAATTAATAAATACTGATTGAATTACTGAAATTTATATTATTTTAATGAATGGTAAGAATAACCACTCTATAGATTACATTTTAATATTAAACATAATCTAAAAATAATTTATCATTTTGATTAAATCTTCATTACCAAATATTTAATTAACTCTATAAGGAATTTATATAGTTTTTACTCTTAATATTTTATAAAATTTAACAACTTATTAGAGATAAAAAACTGTATATTAGAACAGATTTTCTTGATTTTGAATAAGGATTGATTAATTAAATGATTCTTTCAAGAAATCTTATGATATCAATGTATTTGTTAAAATTTATTGTGACTATAATTTTTCTGCAGATCTTATTTATTGGAAAGATTCATTATTAAAAAAGGCTATTTTATAAAGCAAATCAATTTTCATATACTATGTGACTTTGAATCAATAATCTTTTTAGAAAAACATTTTCAGCTTTACTAAAATCATTTTGTAATATCAAATATCTATATCAATTTAGATTAAAAGCATTCTTTCCCATAAAAATTATGAATACATTATTTCAGATGTTTTCAAGATATTTTTGTAACCTTAGAGTTCTATTTAATTAGATCTAATAATGAATACTTAAAAAATATTTAGTAAATGAATTTATATCAAATATTAATAATTAAAACTCCATTTATATTTAGAAAATAGGTGTCATCATTTAAAAATTTAATGAGTTTAAAATAAAATCTATATACGACTCTAATTGAAGAAGAATTTGATGTATAAAATTCTTATAGAAAAATCTAAACTTTCCTAAGTGTCTTTAACTAAATAATTGAAAGATATTATTTATTTACAAATTCTTTTCCATAAAAAACTGAATTGGAACTAATATCAGATAACCCAATTCCCATTTAATGACACCATTCAATAACTTAATATAACGAAAAAAAATAAAATAAATTATGAATAAACTATAAAGTTTACAGAGCTTAATCTCTTTAAAAGGTAATTGAAGTTTATTTATTTATTTTTTTCTACATTTTTCAGGATTTATTGATAATGTATTAAGAAAATTTGTTGACATAATGGAATAATCTAAATGAAATGAATATTTAAAGAATAAATATTCGTCTCAAATGAAAATTTAAATATCTGATTCCAATTTTTTTATATATACATATTAATAATTCTTATTTATAAATTTAATAGAATAAAAAATTACATATTTAATAAAATAAAAGAGTGGATTTAATTGAAAACTTTCGGGTGGGTTTAGACATTAAACATCAAAATTATCAATAATTAAAAAACTAACAATTTATATAATATATTATACTCTAAAGAATCTTAAAATCCTATTAAAAATCAATTATTATAATCTTTTGTTTTTTATTATTGTTAAAGACACTAAATCAGGGTTAAAACTTAAGCAAATTTATATTCTTCTTTTCAAGTATTTGCCAATTAAGAGTATATTTTATATTCTGTAACACCAAATGCTTCTTCCCATATTAAACCCTAGACTCTTCTTTCTATTCCTCAGATTTAGAATTTTTATATAAACCTTGGAGAAAGCTCAACTAAGAAGTTTGAGCTATATTAATATGTCTATTCCTTATTTAAATTATTAATTTTCACATCATAATACAATTAATATTTTATTAAACTTATTTTTCTATTAAAATGATCGAATCAGATTTAAAGCAATATGAAATGCTCAAAATGATAAAAATTCAGATAATATCCCCTCTCGAAGCTAGGTGGGTGGAGAGAATCATCCCATTAAAATAAATATTAGCTTTTATTTATTATGAAAATGGAGTTTATTAATTGTATGATATAAATAAACAAGTAATTACTTAAAAAGGATAGATTTCATAGAATATAAAGTTTTTCCTTGAAATTTACACAAAGTAATATTTTTAAATATTTAGTATTAGTGTTTTGATATTTCATGATCCCATAGATCTTTAAATAAAATTATTAGACTTGAATACGAATTAAATTAATCCTAAATTTGTGTTTAAATCAAGTGACCAAATAGATATCAAGAGTGATTAAGAAACTAAAGAGAAATTTGTAGATAGTATTATATAATATAATATTTTGGATTTAGAATTTTCTTTATTGATTGTTATAAGAACTAAATTAAATATTTGATATCATAAGATTTAGAAAACTATTACTCAAAAAAAAATGTCTGTCATTACACTATAAGAGTTTTACCTTTATATTAAAATTCTTAAACTAATTTTGAATTAACACCTATTGTTAAATATGATTATTAAAATAGTTTTTCATANTTATTTATAAATTTAATAGAATAAAAAATTACATATTTAATAAAATAAAAGAGTGGATTTAATTGAAAACTTTCGGGTGGGTTTAGACATTAAACATCAAAATTATCAATAATTAAAAAACTAACAATTTATATAATATATTATACTCTAAAGAATCTTAAAATCCTATTAAAAATCAATTATTATAATCTTTTGTTTTTTATTATTGTTAAAGACACTGAGTCAGGGTTAAAAAGTAAGCAAATTTATATTCTTCTTTTCAAATATTTGCCAATTAAGAGTATATTTTATATACTGTAACATCAAATGCTTCTTCCCATATTAAACTCTAGACCCTTCTTTCTATTCCTCAGATTTAGAATTTTTATATAAACCTTGGAGAAAGCTCAACTAAGAAATTTGAGCTATATTAATATGTCTATTCCTTATTTAAATTATTAATTTTCATATCCTAATACTGTTTATATTATATTAAACTTATTTTTCTATTAAAAATGATCCAATAAGAAATGCTCAAAATGATTGAAATTTAGGTAATATCCCCTCTCGAAGCTAAGTTGGTGGAAAGAATCATCCCTTTAAAATAGTAATTAGCTTTTATTTATTATGAAAATGGAGTTTATTAATTGTATGATATAAATAAACAAGTAATTACTTAAAAAGGATAGATTTCAGTGAAAATAAAATTTTTCCTTGAAATTTACACAAAGTAATATTTTTTAATATTTAATATTAGTGTTTTGATATTTCATGATCCCGTAGATCTTTAAATTAAATTATTAGACTTGAATATGAATTAAATTAATCCTAAATTTGTGTTTAAATCAAGTGACCAAATAGATATCAAGAGTGATTAAGAAACTAAAGAGATTTTTTTAGATAGTATTATATAATATAATATTTAGGATTTAGAATTTTCTTTATTGATTGTTAGAAGAACTAAATTAAATATTTGATGTCATAAGATTTAGAAAAATCTTACTCAAATAATAATGTCTGTCATTACACTATAAGAGTTTTACCTCTATATTATAATTCTTAAACTAATTTTGAATTAACACCTGTTGTTAAATATGATTATTAAAATAGTATTTCATAAACAGAGTTATACAATTGGTAAGTAGATTAAGAAACTATAGCAATATATGGATAGGATAGTGATAATTTTAAATCTGAAATTCTTCTTATCAAACCTCATTTAATGGAGCAGGCATTCTATATTATTCACACTAAATTTGAATGTTCATACACAACAATGAATGTAACAAATTGGATTAACCCTAACTAAGTTGCTATTTGGGTAAATTGTGATGATAAGTCAACAAGGCCAAGCATTTTTTGTTTTGATTTAAGGAGGTATTATAATGGTAAAAATTGGTTACCTGAACCTTAATTTATAGCAACTTTGGTAATCATTAAAACTTAAAAATTAATAGGCTAGAGATGAATATATTAATAATGAGCCTTAAGTTTTTATGGATATTTTTCAATTTTAATTAGAATCAACTTACGTAATTCATTTAAGATATGTTAACTATGAGTTAAAGGTCTCTGTCATCAATTATGAAAATATTTAAGAACCATAAGTTGTTAGTGAATTTATTGTTGATTCATTTTGGATCTAGCCTGTTGTCGATCATTCTTGGATTTTATTTTATAATGATCTTGGGTATGCAATAATTTTATTATCTTAGTATTCAAAATTAATTAGTCAATTTTAAAATTTTAATTAATTTGAACCCAAACCCAATTCACGATGGATATTATTTATTAAATTTTTTAGAAAAATCAAAAATAATTGAAAAATATGGTATTCATGTAGTTGAAGAAATATTCGAATTCTATTTTTGAAGGTCTAATAATAAATTTAAATTATCAAAATTAAAAAAATTGTACATCATTCTAATAAATAATTAAAATATTTCTTTAATAAAAAAATTGAACAAGTCTTAACAATTGATTATATCAATTACAAAATAGAATACTTAATATATCTATATTAGATATTCTATAACTCTAATTGATCATTTTCTTCAGTTTAATTCAGAGTTGAATTTTTAATGAATCAATATTTCCTTCATAAATCTTTAGAGTAGTGTTTAAGACTTTATGGAAGAGATCCGACTCCATATGGATCTCAGTTCATTAACATATAACAAATTTTTGAATTTTATTAATTAATCTTAATAATGTTCAAAAGTTATACTATTTAGATTGCCTGTATAAGGAAATCAACTAAATTGTTTTTATTAAGTAAAAGATGAATAAATCTAATATTAGATATATAAACTTTAGTATTATATTTATCGCTGATAGATAATCCATTTACTATTCATATAGAAATAAATTCTTAAAGGCAAGGCTCAATGATAACTAATGCATTATGCAAGGAAATAAAAAATTAATTTTTTTAATGATTAAATTAACCATAATTATTAAGGTTCAATGATCTCTTTAATTCTTCATTATTATTTGATTTAAATGACCCTTTATATTTTCTTAATAAAATTAATTATATTGATGAACAAGTAAATCTGATTTACTTTATAAATAAAAACACAATGCCAATTTTTCATGATTATTTTAAAACTAATGCAAATAATTTTATTTGCCTTTCAATTTTAACCTAAGAACTTTTTTTAATCAATTTTGAACATGAAAAAACTTTACCACCATTCTTATTTATTTCGATATAGTTATAACAGGACCAAAGCCACTCCCTCCAGTTCTGCAAATATATTTATTAGACTTTACTCAAATAATTATCCTTCCCTAAACTTAAATGGTAAATCCTGCTATGGAGAGTTAAACCAACCCTAAAGAAATAAAAATTTTGATATATATATGATGTATATCTAATACCCCTATCATATGCAACTTTATTAATTGATATTAAATAAGCAACGATTTTTATAAAATAAACTAAGTATAAATGTAATTATTTAGGCTATTAAAAAATAGTGAAGGCATTTGAAATAGTTCGTAGTATAAATTCTCATTAGCTTAGCCATATATTTGTTAAGATAAATTTCAATACATCTCTCATTTATTTACATAATTTATAAAATTACTTCATTTGAATTCATATACAAGATTGATTTTCAATTCATTAATGAACAAGTTATTGCTTGCAACATTTAATTTTATTGTATTATTTTTTTAATAATAAATTCTTTAAATTGAAATATTAATGATGAATGATATAAATCAAGTTTTAACACTTTTATTCAAATTGAGATTTTTTTGTTGATCTCTCAATAAGGCTCTTTTGAGTAATAAATTACAGCAATTTACGGAGAATCAACAATAATAATTTAGCCAATCAAATTAAATTAATTTCATTACAAAAATCTCTAACCTATCAATAAATAAGCACTATATATGAAGTGAATACATTCAATATGTGGAGCCTGATATCATTAAATTCTCTATCTAAAAGTAAAACAATTTGACTTTTAATAAAATTGTAACTTTAATCAACTTAATCAATTATCATAGTAATAAACTGATTAAAGTTACCATTAAGCATCTTTAATTTTATTTGCTATTAACAATATAAAGAATATTATTTAATTCGTATAAATTATTATTGAATAAGATAAACTTTAGAAGTGTCAAAATCTACCAAATAAAATGTTTCTTTGTTCATTTTTATTAATGGATGATTAATTATAAGCATGATTTTTTAAGATTGGTTAAGAGAGCTACATTATAAGACTATTATTAAATGAATTATCAACTCTTTAATCTAAATATCACAAAAATACGAGCAAATAAAATATTGAGAAAACAAATATACATAAATAAATTATTAAAAAATGAATGATATTTATAATGAATAAAACTAAAGAATTTTCTGACCCAAATACTAACAAAAAGGTTTCATTATACATTCCCAAAACCTAAAACCTTCTGGTGATTTATTAAACTTAAATGTGGTATACATTTATTAGAAGATAAAGACTTAAAATATAATGCTTTCCTGATTATTATTTGAAAGTTTAATAACAAGATTAGATATCTAAATGATTAATTCAAAAATAAAAATTTTAATCATATTTATAGAGTTAAATTAATAGTTTCACAATGTTATCTAAATGTTTATTTTAACTTTAATAATCATCATCTATTGTATTCTATTTTTAAAATGAGCTTGTTATTTATATTTTAATTATTATTATCTATTAGCCATGATATCCCTCTTTATTGATAATTGTTAGTATCCTTTTATAAATTTATTTTTAACCAATTATCTTGTAAGATTTGATCAATGATGCTTAATTGGCTTAATCTCAATTTTAAATGATTCCAGAATACATAGAGTTAGTAATTTAATTTTATTACATTTGTATTTTTATGATAGATCAATTATATACAGATGATTATTGGGTAATAAAGTCTTACGAACTTGGCTTTGTGTTTTAAATTCCTTTCTCATGGTTTTGAACAATAAATATTTACCATCCTTGACAATCTTATACATTTTTTAGAAATTTTACATTTTATTCATTTTAGATTACTGATCTTGCTTTCTTTATGAACCTTCAAAAATTAATAATATACAAAACCTTCTTAACCTAAATATAGGATTCATAGCCTTTATTAATGTTAGACTAATATAATTCCGAAATAGTGAGAAGAGATTTTGGATCTACTCTTTTGTAACATCATCCTTAATGTGTATTACATTAGTATCAATCTTTCTCTTGAATTTAAGTGTTTTCTGTAGACCATATTAAAAAAAGAAATTTTCACTTTGAAAGTGTTATTATTATCTTAAGCCATTTCTTTGAATATCCAAGTAATTTCAAAAAAGAGAGGGTATCCTGTGTCATTACTAACTAAAGGTCTTATTTTATTTATTAACTCCAATTTATTATGAGCACCTGAATTTATACTTCATTATTATTCTCAAAAATTTAAATTGATTTTTACCTGTTCTGATGTTTGATTTGATTATTTTCTAAGATTATCTTGTAATTTTCAACTTTATATAGCAATTCTTCACTTAATTTCTATTTAAATGCAATTCCAACTATTTCCCTTGTTGTGTGATTAGTTAAATCATAATTGTCTTTATCAAATTATTAGCATCCTCCTTTTTCTCAAATTGAGCATAGCCATACAATTACTTTCCTTAATTTTCCCTTTGAATATCGAATAAAAGAACAGTACCAAATCTGTAAGATTCTTAGTCTAATTTTAAAATACAAACTAATTTCATAATTTTATTTATTCTAATTAACACATGAAAAACTAATGCTTCAAATAGTCTTGCAAATTTTTGATATACATGTTAGCCCTTTTATCAGCAATATGATAATTTAAGGATGATTTAACTCTGATGTTAATTGTGAAGAAAAATTATTTTGATTTCTGAGTATCTCTGTTAATCTTCAAGCTTTAAAATTCAAACACTTATTTAAATTTACTATTAGTTTATTTTAATTAAGTGAAGAATGATTATCAATTTACCTTGTATATAAAAATTGTTTTCAGCTATTTATGCCTAAATAATTACTTTAGATTAAATCTTTGTAATAAAATCATTTTGTATTCATCTGGTAAACTTTTTAATAAAAATAAAATAAGGATATTCACCTTGTTCCATGATTTTTATTTTTTCAAATATAAATTTATAAAAATATGTCATAAATCTAAAAATCTCATTAGACATTAACAAAGATATTACTAAAGATCCATCCATTCATGCGACAAGTAGAGTTAGAAAATACCTAAACTGAAGGGAAGACTTAAAAATTTTGCCATACCAAGAATTTTGAAAGTCCTTCAAACATGACGAAGTAAAAAAAGAGTATTACCATTAAAGAAAAAGTTGCTGATAATCTATATAAAACAAAGAATAAAGTAATTAATAAATCCTAAGTTTTTAGATAATCAAATAACTCCTATAAATGCCAAATAAACTAATCGTTAATCATGTTTCAATTAATCAATTTACTAGGATTGGCTTTTAATAATAAAGTATCTGAAATTATACTCAATTAAGTATACTCTAATTTGGGCCTTTTTAAACTTTATTGAATAATATAATTCCTTTATTTCTATAATAAATGATAAATATATAGATGTAAATTATAGGGTTTAGCATTTAGTATTTTAAGATATCAATATTGAATTAATAAATTGTAAAAAAAGTTTAATTTTATTGTTTACATTTAATTTGGAAATTTATCTTTTATTTCTTTCATAAGAAAATTAATATTTTGAACGATCACATACTTTAGCCACTAAGGTTATAAAATAATTTTAATAAAAAAAGTTTATTTCAAATTTATGAATATTTTCAGTTGAGAAAATTGCATTTTCACTATTTTGTTTCTAAATTGTAAACATCCAGATAAAAGAAAAAGAAATTAACTCAAGGTTGAATATATATCTTCATAAAATAGATGTTCCATCCTATAAACTTAATTAATTTAGCAGATGCATTCTGTTAATGCATAGGCATTCATTCTGTTTGAATCTTCATATTTTTTATTCATAATATAAGTCTCTTATAGATGATAAAGGGGTCCATATTAAAAGAAAACTATAAGCTGCTCTACAAATTGATTTACGAATCAATAGGATGAACTTTTTTTGTAGAACTTCAATTTTTAAAACTTTTTGTATTAAATTCTACCAAATGCTGTAAAAATGATATTATATGATTAGCCTGATTTTGTTTGATACGAAATTAAGGATCAAATACTCATATTTTAAATAATTTTAGATATGTTTTTTTTAATTTTTTATTAATTGAATTACATTATATAATCAAAAATATATTTGTATTATTTTGCTATGAAATCACAATCCAAAAAAGATGATAGAAAAAAACAGAAAGATCAAAATGAAAATATTTGTTTTTTTAAAATTGCCATACCATTGATAATAAATTTTTTGTTAAGCCAACAAAATAAATTGAATTTTTAGTAATAGAAAGACTCAATTCTGAAGCTTGTGACTAATACTGCTAATTGAATTAAAATACATATATTTCTGGACTAATCTAAACTAAAAATTCTTATACAATTGTTGTACTTTTGGATATTTTTTTTGTTAAATTACTTAATACTAAGCTTGTAAATTGTCATTTGTGATATGGTTATTCAATTTTAAGCAAAGTATTTTAATAGAAACTTAATGTGAAATTATAGTTAAGGAGAAGTAAGGAGAATTATAGATGTGCTAAGAGTAAAATGAGAAGAATGAGGAAATGTTGAAATAATTATAATAAAGTTTGGTATAAGTAAATGCTTTATTAAAAGTAGGTTTAGTAATTCTCTTAATCACTGACATTCTCAACAATTTATAAGAATAGTAATTGTT